GGAGGAAGAGATGCAGGTCATGGGAAAAGCATAAATGGCTGACAAAATATAGACAGAATATTTATCAACGTCTGAGAAATCTTCTTACCTCAAACAGGTTGCCATATCCTCAGCAGAGTGGTAATCTAAGGCGTTATCACCTAGACAGTTTATTTCCCACTCTGCTACAGATAATACGCATGAACTAACGCTAAGCGGGCTTATAGATTTTATATGCCAGAAATACATGCCCCGTAAATACAGAGTTCCGATGCACGAGAGCTTTTTCAGATGTTGCACAGCTAGTGAACGCAGTCTCACTGCAAGTTTAAGGTTTTAAAGCAATTCCCTCTGACGATAAACGTATGCCTTCTGAAAACATTAACTGGGTTGGCCTTTTAATATGTTCTTTCAAATTCAAACAAGTATTGTGGTATGTTGTCTGTATTCTCCTGCCAATTTTGAAATATTTATGCATAGCGTATACGTATCTATACATTCATGTTGCATCTGGATCCGTACCTAGCGTAAACTTGAATCAATGGTGTAATTTTGCTTTTGGCCTAAATTATTTGTTAATACTCATTTAAATTACCTGTATGTCTATTCTTTGCGTGCCTCGTCTTAAAATCTCTAAAGAATACAGAAGCTGACCTCTGTTGTATGATTCTGAGGTTCTTCGACATTGTATACAGAACATATTATTATTCATACAGCATTTAAAAGATATTTTCTAAGTTTCGAAGTATTATTTACTGTGATCTCACACACACACACACTCACACACACTCACACACTCACACACACACACACCCCCACTCACTCACTCACACACACTCACACACACACACACTTACACACACACACACAACTTATACACCGTCACAACTCATAAGTGAGTAGTAATCCCGCCCAGTTATTGTTGTTATGTAAGAGCGTGCTATATGTGGAATCAAAATTCCTCAAGACAGTTTCTAGAAGTAGATGTCGTTAACATTCTGTGAAAGTTACATTAAAATCGAATAAGATACAGCAAGAAAATGGGATAAAATGTGCGAAATCGTATTTTAAGAAAACGTCCGATAAAGGTCAGAAAAGACCAAAATAGTTCTCTTTCCAATTAGAAACCGTAAAAAACATATTTTAAACTCGAACTTGTCAACTTGTTGATAATATTAACAAAGTAGAAATAGAATGAATGTTTCTTACTAAAACTGAAACATATACGCTGTGTGTAAAACATGCCTTTTGAGAAAAAAAAAAGTGGCAATTATTTTCTTTTAAAAATTCTCTACCCTCTGCTCTAAAATCCCTTCAAACAGCACTTTAGGGTACAGAAACGGTTACATACGTTTCTTGGCATTGTTCAGGAAATATCTAGGAAATATATTATATAATAAGTGATAACCCAAGTTTTAATAATTTCACAAAAAAACATTTTAGGGGTCACTTCATGGTCACTTCTCCTTAGAATACTTCACAACATGAACAAGATAACAGAAAGTAAATACGGCATTATTACATTATGTGAAAAATCTGTACTTGAATACTACTATAACAGTAATTAAAATTCTGAGAAGTACAGGCTCTTAATTGCAACCTGAGCAGTCGCTAATCAGTTTTAAAAAAATAAAGAATGGAGTTGAACAAAGATTTCACAAACCACCGTTTTCTCTTATAAAAAGAACCAAGAACCAACGACAGAATATTTTATCCACTGAGCGATAGATAGCATAGCAAATAACATCATGTCATAGAACTTTTGAGGGGGTTTCGGGCGGTTTTGGGACGTTTTGGGTGGTTTTGGGTGGTTTTGGGAGGTTTTGGGAGGTTTTTGGAAGGTTTCGGTTGTTTTCGGGAGGTTCCGGTATAAACAAGTACCGCTGCGCTGTTTATAATTATCATTGTTCTCCTTCGGACTCCAAACAGATCCGCATGGGTCTCCAGCATGGCCTCATCAACTCCGGACAGGCGAGCGCTCTGCCACGGGACAGCCCCACACTGGCGGACAAGATGAGGGAAGCCGGATACGCCACCCACCTGGTGGGCAAATGGCACTTGGGATATTACAAGCAGGAGTTCTTGCCCTTTAACAGGGGCTTCGACACGTTCTACGGTAAAACTAAAATGGTGAAACGGTATTGGTTTAAAGCCCCTATCAACAAAAATTGGTTATTTAAGGGGTGGGACCTCCTAGTTTAACGTCCGACTCTGATAGGACCGAGCCAAGTGGGACGTTCGTGTAAAGTGCCTTTCCCAAGGACACAACGTCGGACCGAGCTGAGGCTCGAACCCCCGTACCCGCAATCTCACGACTACGAGTCCGGTAGCCTAACCACTAGGCTACCGAGGCCACGTTCTACGGTAAAGCTACATCGAAGTGTGGTTGCGTGGCATTGTGCTGTTCAGCTTTACAACACCTATTGGAAGGATTGCATTTTATTGTATGTATTTGGGTTTAATGCATATTGCACAGAATTGCATTGTATATTACAACATTTCTACAATCCTTCAACTGTAATTGTTTTAAACCCATACAAAACGGTACAAAAAATATAGGAGAGCCATAACATACTATCATAGGCACCGACAGACTTTATGCACTGACCTTTATTTTATGCGCAATTTGAAATTTCTATTACCTCTACTACACTTTTGTCCAGGCTACTTCATTGTCTACTAGAAACATTTATATCCAGAGTACTTAACAGTACGCTAGAATTACAGCAGAGACAATTAAAAATGCCTTTTACCTCCTCACTGTTGTCCGGGCTACTCAACTGCCTGCTACAACTACACCAGCGACAATTAAAAGATCTCTTTCTTCTTCTTCTTCTTCTTCTTTCTTCTTCTTCTTCTTGTTCTTCTTCTTGTTCTTCTTCTTCTTCTTCTTCTTCTTCTTCTTCTTCTTCTTCTTCTTCTTCTTCTATCCCGTGGCAACCGTGGGGTCACCATTGCATCTGAAAACCAGCTGTCGCCATTTCTCTTTGTCCTCTGCTTTCCTCAGATTGTCACCCATCGCCTTCCCTGTCCAGTCTGCGATGTTGTCCTCCCATCTCCCTCTTTGCCTTCCTCTCTTCCTCTTTCATTTTACGGTTCCTTGTAGGGTTGTTTTGGTAAGTCCTGTGGACCTTGTGACATGCCCATACTGTTTTAATTTTCGTCTCTTCACTGTGATCAGTAGATCTTCGTGCTACCCCACTGCGTTTGTGATTCTGTTCCGTACCTCAGCATTTGAAACGTGGTCTTTGTACGAGATGTTAAGGAGTCTGCCGTAATATCTCATCTCTGTTGTCTGAATCTTTTCTCTAATTCTGCTGTTAGTGTCCACGACTCACAGACGTATAAAAAATATTGAGATGACCAGTCAGTGCATTAGTCTGATTTTCGAGTTGAGCGTGACTTTTCTGTCCTTCCAAATAGGCAAAGAGTCCTTGAGTGTGTATCTAGCTTACGATATTAATTGTTTATATTGTTGCTCATTTAATTTATGCAAGTGATTGTAAGCCTACGAGTGTGTGCATGGGCGTTTGCGCGCGCGCGCGCGCGCGCGCGCGTGTGTGTGTGTGTGTGTGTGTGTGTATGTGCGTGTGAGTGTGTGTGCGTGTGTATGTATGTATATGTGTGTGTGCGTGTGTGTGTGTGTGTGTGTGTGTGTGTGTGTGTGTGTGTGTGTACACGTGGTGAAACATCAAACCAATGTGCCACAGGACCTGGACAATAAAGATGTATCTTATCTTATCTTATATTATCTTATCTTTAGCGTCATTCAAAAACCCCTTTTGCCCCCACACGTTTGTCCAGGCTACCTGACTGCCTGCGAAAACTACACTAGCCACAAGAGGGTCTACCCACAGGACGGAGTGGCATATCTTGACCTACGCGACAACAACGGACCTATACATAACGAGAATGGACACTACTCCACGCATCTCTTTACAGAGAAGGCGATCAACGTTGTGCAAGCCCATGACACTAGTAAAGTGAGTTCTTTTTTTTTTTTTTGGGTAGAGGATTTTATGGAGCTCGTAACTGCATAAGGTCATATGAGCGCCAAGGGGTGGGTGTCAACAGAGAGGTCCTTACAGGGAATCAGACTTACTCTGCTCATCTATCTTGCTTCAACAGCACAAGGTCTGCTTCGACTATCAAGGCACCCCGGAAATAGTGGGTCACAAGAGTGTGACAAACATACAAAAGAAGTAGAGGGGAATGACAATAGTGAGGATCAGGAAAGAAAAAGCAGCAGTTCCCTGTTGCAGATCAGGCACAATTATGAGCTTGACATGATGAATCAGCCCATTTACAATTCTACCATGCTTGAAAGAGAAATGTCCCCCCCCCCTTGGGAATGGCCTAAAGACAGTACAGTCAGTGGCACTGCCCGGGGG